AGTGCAGAGGTTGGAGAATAAAAGGTCGAGAGTGAGTGGTGGTTTTTGTCCATTGTGAAGGTTAGGTTGAGAACTTAAGAAGTTAAGAAGTGGCTGAGGTGTTAACATTGACTGGAATGTTAAAGTCTCTAAGGATGATGGTGGGTACTTTAGGGGAGAGAAAGTAGGGTAGTCATTCAGAGAAGTCATTGAGAAATGCTACACTGGGCCAAGGGGCCAGTAAATGACTTCAATCCTCAGATAAACTGGAGAAAACACACAAATAGAGTGCACTTTTAAAGAGCAGAGGGACAGAGAAGGAGTGTAGGAAGAACTGGAAGGTGCTTTGTGGGTAAAGGAGAAGTTCAACTCGGCCTCCTTTTCGTCTACTGGGTCTAGGTGAGTAAGGGCAGCTGGAGAGGCAGAGTCAGATTCCTGGAGCCAGGTTTCAGTAATAGCAAACCGATTGAGGGAGTTGGAGAGGAAAAGGTCATTAGCCGAGACAATTTTGTTAGAGACTGAGCGAGCATTCCAGAGAGCACACATGAGGGGGGTTGGCTCATGGAAGCAGGGCAATTAAAAGAAGAGAGTGAGGGTTGAGGCTGCAGAGAAGGGAGACTACTGGTTCTGGGAGTGAGAGTTTGATGGTGGAGGGCCAGGGTTTGGGGCGATATCCCCGGAAGCTAGGGGTAATAGGAGACTGAGGGAGGATACAGGGGAGTGGGATTTATACGAAAGCAAACACTGCAGTGCATTTAAAGTTGTGACATTAAATGGGTTCAGAAAGAACAGGAGATGATAAGTGCAGTAATATTGAGAGGGCAGAAGTGAGGGTCATATGTACAAGTTGTGTGGTGGAGAGAGGAGTAAAGATATGAGAATTTGAGGAGAGAGGGCATTATTGCACAAAGGAAGGTTAGTGAGAGCATGTTGGAGGGTGAAGAGAGGGAAAAAGAAGGCTAAGGGAAAGAGATAAGAGATGAAAGAGCACTTCCAGACTACTTGGAGTGGAGCACTGATGTTTGTACTTGCCTTTGTTGAAATGCCTTAGTTAAGGTGCCTTAGTAAGTGCTGTATTAACTGCTTCCTGACTGCCCTTTAGCAGAAATACTTCTACAGGGCGGCAGGGGTATGCAAAATCATGTAAATATACGTGATTTTGTATTTCTGGGTCCCAGACGGTGATTACTCGCCAGCACCCAGTGATTGCCGGCATCTCTGACGGGGAGAACTGTTTGTAAACAAAACAGTTATGCTCCCTGTCAGCTCGTGCACTTCTTTGGATGGCTGTGCTCAGCACATCCATCCAAAGCAGTGTGCTAACAGTGAAGCACAGACACAAGTAAAACAGCACACAGTTAACCCTTTGATCACCCCTCATGTTAACCCCTTTCTGCCCAATGCCATTAGTACAGTGTAAGTGCTTTTTTTAGCACTGATCACTGTATTGGTCTCACAGGGGATGTCAGTGACACCAAGTCAGTTCCCTCCAGTGTCAGAATGCCTGCCACAGTCCCGCTATAAGTCGCTCATCGCCGATATTATTAGCAAAAATAAAAAATAAATCTTAGTATATATAACGCCATTTGTAAATGGTATAACGTTCACGTAAACCAATTAATTTGCACGTATTGGGATTTTTTTTAGCAAAGACATGTAGCAGAATACATTTTGGCCTAAATTTATGATGACATTTTATTTTTAAATTTTTTTTTATTTATTTAATAGCAAAAAGTCAAAAATATATTTTTTTTCTCAAAATTGTCAATCTTTTTTTTTATAGTGCAAAAAATAAAAACGCACAGACAATAAAGTACCACCAAAAGAAAGCTCAATTTGTGGGAAAAAAGGGACATAAATTTAACTTGGGTGCAGTGTTGCATGACCGCACAATTGTCAGTTAAATTAACACAGCACCGTAATACAAAAAATTGCCTGGTCAGGTAGGGGGGTAAATACTCAAGAGGGCAAGTGGTTAAAAGTGCTATGCACTTACCACAAAAATGGCATATATCAACAAAATTCATCTAGTTGTAGATGTAATGGAAAGAAACCTTCCTGCCATGCTTATGTGTTCCAGTTTGAAACAGTGCAACAGGCATACATAATGTACTGTATGTTAACCCCTTTGAGCAGGCGCCTCCCGGCCCTTTAAGGTATCAGAAGCCGGGAGGCGGGGCAGGGTTTAGGATCACGTGAAAGCCGTGAAACGCCGTCACGGCGGTCACATGATCGGGAAAGGTCCCAATCGAAAGAGGAGATCGGGACCTTTCCGTAGGTACCAGACATGTGTGCTGGGAGCGCGCGGGGCGTGCGCTCTCAGCACATATGTTCTTTTTTAATAGAACGCAAACATATGGTCGCTCGGCGTCTAGGCCCAGATCTAATATGGTGTAATTTGAGCTTTGAGGTAGCTAAATGATCTTAAATCACAAACTTTAATTACATGTTTATATGTAAATTATAATTCTCAGTGGATTCTAATATCTGAGATTTTAATACTGTCTCAATAAAATGAACAAAAGATTTTAAATATTTTATATCTTATCCTTGGTGTTAAGCTGGCCATACACTGATTAAAATTCGGCCAGCTCAGAAGGGACCAGGCACATTTCCATCAGTGTGTGGCTTTAACCACTAGACAGAAGTTGATGTTTTTTTCAACTTCTGGTGGAGGAACTTATAGGAAAATGTATCTTGATCAGAGGCTACAGCCAACCATCTGCAGCTGCTGATCAGTGTATTCTGTCAGCTACAGGTATCACTGTCAGAATACAAAGTCCTGGCAGGAGGGAAGGGGATTCCTCCATCCACCACATTTTTGTGGATGGTGGAACCTTTAAGTTTTTGCTCATTCAGATCGATGGCTGAACAGAAAAAACTAACAGTATATGGCCAGCTTTAATTAATAGTTGAATATATTTGAATAGGGGCAGCACAGTAACTAAATGGTTAGCACTTCCCACCTGGCAGCACTAGGGTTGTCGGTTCAAATCACTACCTACCTGGAGTTGCATGTTCTCCTTGTTGCTGCATGGGTTTCCTCTTTGTTTTCTTGTTTCCTCCCACACTCCAAAGACATGCTGGTAGGTTAATTTTCTCCTAACTAAATTGGCCCTAGTATGTGTATGTATGAATGTGAGCTAGGGACCTTAGATTGTACGCTCCTTGATAGTTAGGGACAGATGTGCAATATACAGTCATGGCCGAAATTGTTGGCACCCTTGATATTTCTCCAGGAAATCATGTATTTCTCACGAAACGTATTGCATTAACACATGTTTTGCTATACACATGTTTATTCCCTTTGTGTGTATTGGGACAAAAACAAAAAAAGGGAGGAAAGAAAGCAAATTCGACATAATGTCACACAAACCTCCAAAAATGGGCTGGACAAAAGTATTGGCACCCTTTCACAACTGCGGATAAATAAGAATGTTACAAGCATGTGATGCTCCTGTAAACTCACCTGGGGCAAGTAACAGGTGTGGGCAATATAGAAATCACACCTGAAAGCAGATAAAAAGGAGAGACGTTCACTTAACCTTTGCATTGTGTGTCTGTCTGTGCCACACTAAGCATGGACAACAGAAAGAGGAGACGAGAACTGTCTGAGGACCTGAGAACCAAAATTGTGGCAAAATATCAACAATCTCAAGGTTACAAGTCCATCTCCAGAGAACTAGATTTGCCTTTGTCCACAGTGCGCAACATTATCAAGAAGTTTGCAACCCATGGCACTGTAGCTAATCTCCCTGGTCGTGGACGGATGAGGAAAATTGATGAAAGATTGCAACGCAGAATAGTCCGGATGGTGGATAAGCAGCCCCAAACATGTTCCAAAGACATTCAAGCTGTCCTGCAGGCTCAGGGAGCATCAGTGTCAGCGCGAACTATCCGTCGACATTTAAATGAAATGAAACGCTATGGCAGGAGACCCAGGAGGACCCCACTGCTGACACAGAGACATAAAAAAGCAAGACTATTTGCCAAAATGTACTTGAGTAAGCCAAAAGCCTTCTGGGAAAACGTCTTGTGGACAGATGAGACCAAGATAGAGCTTTTCGGTAAAGCACATCATTCTACTGTTTACCGAAAAACGGAATGAGGCCTACAAAGAACAAAACACAGTACCTACGGTAAAATATGGTGGAGGTTCAATGATGTTTTGGGGTTGTTTTGCTGCCTCTGGCACTGGGTGCCTTGACTGTGTGCAAGGCATCATGAAATCTGAGGATTACCAAAGGATTTTGGGGTCGCACTGTAGGGCCCAGTGTCAGAAAGCTGGGTTTGCGTCCAAGATCCTGGGTCTTCCAGCAGGACAATGACCCCAAACATACGTCAAAAAGCACTCAGAAATGGATGGCAAAGAAGCGCTGGAGAGTTCTGAAGTGGCCAGCAATGAGCCCAGATCTAAATCCCATTGAACACCTGTGGAGAGATCTTAAAATTGCTGTTGGGAAAAGGTGTCCTTCCAATAAGAGAGACCTGGAGCTGTTTGCAAAGGAAGAGTGGTCCAAAATTCCGGGTGAGAGGTGTCAGAAGCTTATTGATGGTTATAGGAAGCGACTGATTTCAGTTATGTTTTCCAAAGGGTGTGCAACCAAATATTAAGTTAAGGGTGCCAATACTTTTGTCCAGCCCATTTTTGGGGTTTTGTGTGACATTATGTCATATTTGCTTTTCTGCCTCTGTTTTATATTTGTTCCAATACATACAAAGGGAATAAACATGTGTATAGCAAAAAACATGTGTTAATGCAATACCTTTTTTGTGTGAAATACTTGATTTTCAGGAAAAATATCAAGGGTGCCAACAATTTCGGCCATGACTGTATATATATGTAAAGTGCTGTGTATATTGACAGCGCTGTATAAAGTACCTGTAATAAATAGACATTGTGGGATGCTGGTACCATGAAATATGTTTGGGACCCATTTCCATATATATATATATATATATATATATATATATATATATATATACTTATGATTCATTAAGATAAGTAAATGCTGGATTTGCTAAGTGAACATTCTATATGCCTTAGGATGTAGTAGAAACTTAGCCCCAGTGACACAGAGATTAGAGACAGGTGCTACATAGATCTTGATCACTGTGTCACTCACTGCACAATAGTACACGCCAGAGTCAGACAGCTCAGCCTTGGCTTTTGTCAGATGAAAAGTACTTTTTTCTTTGTCATGCTGGGCTGTAAAACCTCGGTTTTCTTTTAGTCCAAAATTATATAGTAGCATCTCCGGTGCTCTGCTGTGATAGTGGGTGTACCAGTAAAGGTAAGGAGTGCCAGATACTTTAAATGTACAGTTTATATGCAGAGGGTCTCCCTCTGAAAGCAGCAAAGACGGTAGAGGCTGGTCAACAGTCTGGCCATGGATCATAACTGTAATAAAATGACAAATAGTTAACTTTCTTGCAAGGTGATGCTTATTGGTAAATGACAATTCTAACATTTGTAATGATATGTTACTCACCAAACAATGACATAAAGGTTATATGAAGAAGACTGGCAGCACACATCATGTCACAGCAAACCACAAAGAATGATCTGATCTGTCAGTGGGAAGTACAGATGTGACATTTTATAGCACCGCTACATCATGTGACTATTTCCTCAATTCACATTTAGATGCTGTGAATCACTGTTTGTCTTCACAGAATGAAGATTTATGATAGGACAGTATTGTGGGACTACCAAACTGTTGATCTACTTCCACTCACCTGGCTTGTTCAGGTGTCCCCTTCACCCTTGGGATGTTTCTACCCTTCCTGGAGCGTTATTCGTCATATAATTAAAATTGATAGATTTGCAGAACACAGGGATCAGAGCACTGGAGTCCCCGCGAGAGGCAAGAAATAGATTATTATTTAATAAAAACACTAAAATAGGTCTGATACATTTTTAAATTGCTCAGTGCTTGTTCTGACATTTGATACTGTCTTTGTACCTGCTAAGCTAGACACTACCCCACAATATTACTATGGTAATGAAAGCTCTGATTTAATAGTTTCCCCCTTTAAACCACTAACATAAGCATTTAACATTGAATATATCTATTATATAGAGTATAAAGTGAAAAGCTTACTGTCTTCCTTAGCCTTATGGAAAAAGTTGAAAAGTACACATTAGTGCAAATTGAAAATGTTACAAGTTATTAATGTATGTTTAAATTTTGAAGCCTCAATAAAGCTCTTTTGGTATCAGAAAATTTTACATGTTAAAGGTGATTTTCAAGTATGGATATTTTTGCATAGTTACATTGGTCCAGCTAGGACTGATGTATATAGTACTGTGCAAACGTTTTAGGGAGGTGTGAAGAAATGCTGTAAGATAAGAAAGCTTTAAAAAATATGGCTTCAAACCTGCATCAATTCTTACACTTGCAAACTTTGTACACTTGCAAAAATTCAGAGATTATGTAGGATTAGAGTCAGGTGTATGATTAACCAGTTATACCAAGCAGGTGCTAATGATCATTAATTTCATATCAAGGTTGAAACACAGTCATTAACTGAAACAGAAACAGCTGTGTAGGAGGCTTAAACTGGGTGACCAGCCAAACTCTACTACTAAGGTGAGGTTGTGGAAGACAATTTCATGTCATAGGTCATACACCATGGCAAGACTGAACACAGTAACAAGACACATACTGCATCAGCAAGGTCTCTCCCAGGCAAAAATTTCAAATCAGACTGGGGTTTCAAGATGTGCTGTTCAAGCCATTTTGAAGAAGCACAAAGAAATAGGAACATTGAGGACCGTAGACACAGTGGTCTGCCAAGTAAACTTAATACAGCAGATGAAAGACACATCATGCTTACTTCCCTTCAACATCAAAAGATGTCCAGAAGTGCCATCAGCACAGAACTGACTGAAACCAGTGAGACCCAAGTACACCATTCTAATGTCTGGAGAAGTCTAGTCTTCATGGAAGAATTGAGAGCAAAAAGCCATACTTCTGACAAGGAAACAAGGCTAAGTGACTCAACTATGCACAACAAACAAAGCCTGAACTGTCTGTTTGTTCATGAAGGTCTGGAGAGCGATACAATAATGAGTATCTGCAGGTAACAGTGAAGCATGGTGGAGGTTCCTTGTAAGTTTGGGGCTGCATTTCTGCAAATGGAGTTGGAGATTTGATCAAGATCAATGGTGTCCTCAATGTTGAGAAATACAGGCAATTACTTATCCATTATGCCATACCATCAGTGAGGCGTGTGATTGGACCCAAATTTATTCTGCAGCAGGACAACAATACCAAACATACAGCCAATGTCATTAAGAACTATCTTCAGCATACAGAAGAACAAGGAGTCTTGGAAGTGATGGTTTGTTCCCACAGAGCCCTGATCTCAACATCAAGTCTGTCTGGGAATACTTGAAGACAAAGAAGGATTTAAGGCAGCCTACATCCAGAGAAGATGGCTGCTCTGTGTATTTTTGAGCCTTGCATTAATTTTTGTGAGTGTGGTTTTTAAAAAAGCTGTGAATAAAGTATTTTTGAGTTAATACAATGAACCCTTATTAGTGTTTCCTTTTCTTATATCATCAATGGGCAACATTTGAATTTTGAATGTTGGAACTGCCTTATCTGGAGTGGTTAAGAGTTCCAGAGTTCCAGTCACCTTGGGCTGATCCCATCTCTTAAAGAGGAACAAGTATGTTTAGACTTTGGTAAATCAAAGATCCATCAGAGAAGGTGATCTCATCTTCTGTCAATCTGGTGGTGAAGCCTTCTTTTATTTGCACTTAGGATTCACAGTGGATGTCTTTGGAGTGAAAATTTTATACACTGTGTTGTGATGTAGACTTACACTTTGATGAACTTTAAACTTTATTAGTTTAGTGTGAATACCACAACTGTATTTTGGTTGATTTGAGTTAGAGACTAATTGGTTTAGTTTTAGTCTGTATAAGGTGGTACTGTAAACAGAGCACGGTGTATAATATGTGATGTCCTTTGGGTTTTTAGACTGCTACCTGACTGGGACAACTCTGATGTCACTTTAGTAAAGGAGATATTTGTTCAGGAAGAAAGTAGTGCTCCTTCCTTTCTTCCCATCCAAATACAACCATATTTTATCATTTAGAGATTACCTTTGTTACAGATGCATTGGTCTTATATCTAGCACTGTTGTAATAGCGCAACATTACTATGATAACTGTGAATTCTGTGGACAGTTGGTAGCTTTCAGTGCTGCAGCTGTATTTTCTAAGTATACTCATTTGTATTTATCTGTGTTTTAATTTTAACACACGCATAGTTTTTTATTAAGTTTCATATTTATCATGTATATACATGAGCACAAAATGTTGATTTGTTATTTACATCAACAGAAGATCTGTGCTTAGTTCTCCAAGATGTTTGGAACAATCGACCTGCAGAGTTCCTTTACAGTGGTAGCAAACCCACCTTGTTCATTTTTGACTACAGGTAAGCTTATAATAAAGATTACATGTAGGTAAAATGAATATCTCCTAAGCTGTTTAGGAGATATTCAGGGTTTTTTTTTAGCTGGCGCACACGCTCTGAAGGAATGGTATAACTAGGCCATTCCTTCAAAGCACTGTGCCATGGCCCATGGCTCATGTGCACATGCACGTGAGTGACATCATCGGGGCTCAGTCGGTTGGAGCTCATGAACCCAGAAGGAAGGCCCGGTGAAGATGGAAGCCTTTATAGCGGTGACAGCGTGCTGATGGAGGGCTTCATATTAAGGTAAATTGTACATAATGTGATGCATACTAGAACATTATGCCATTGGCTGGCAGCAAATGTTTTGTTTTTTTCATGCGGTTTAGAAACTGTGCAAGTGTACCTAGAAGAACTGATGCTGTTTTGAAGACAAAAAGGGTGATCACACCAAATATTGATTTGACTAGGATTTCTCTTCTATTCATTTACTTTCCATTTTGTTAATTGATTAAATAAACTATTAACACTTCTATTTCTGAAAGCATTTACAGCATTTTTCTCACCTGCCTAAAACTTTTGCACGGTAGTGTAAGTACGTTTATTCCATGCTTGGCCAATTCCTGTGGTAGAGGAAAAGCACTCTAGTAGAGTAAGTATATATATAAAATGCAGTACTAAATAAAGCAAGTGAAGTGATAATCAAAATAAGTGCTTATAAATAAATGTCCATATAAATAAAATATTGGATAGATCCATGAAAATAGTGTTCAATAAGTGTCCATCCACTGCCCTAAAGGAGTGTGCTTGATTGCAGACAATATCATTCATTAATAAATAACCACCATCATCCCCCAGTGAATTGCAAACTCACCAGAGTTAGTTGCTGCCACTACAGCAGCACAGGTGCCAATATAGCGCAGCAGGGACATATGTAGCTTGCTAAAACAATCAATAAATGAACTGCATCCTCCTTGTCCAGATTCTGGTGAAATAAAGCTCACCAAGAGCAAAAAATACTTCCAATAGTGTAGTATTTGAACCACTAGCCTACAGGGCACTTATACCCCCTTCCTGTCCAGGCCAATTTCCAGCTTTCAGCGCTGTCACACTTTGAATGACAATTGCGCGGTCATGCAACACTGTACCATATGAATTTTTTATCATTTTTTTGAGACAGATAGAGCTTTCTTTTGGTGGTATTTAATCACCTCTGGGATTTTTATTTTTTCTTAAACAAACCAAAAACCACAGAAAATTTTGAAAAAAAATGTTTTTCTTAGTTTTTGTTATACAATTTTGTAAATAAGTGATTTTTCTCCTTCACTGATGTGCGCTAATGAGGCTGCAGTGGTGGGCACTGATAGGCTGCACTGATGGACACTGATAGGTGGCACTGATGGGCACTGATGAGGAGACACTGGTAGGTTGCACTGATGGGCATTGACAGGCATCACTGATGGGCACTGATAGGCGGCACTGACTGGCACTGATGCGCACTGATAGGTGACACTGACTGGCACTGATAGGTGGCACTGAGTGGCAGCACTGATAGGTGGCACTGATTGGCATTGATAGGTGGCACTGACTGGCACTGATGGGTGATATTGAAAGGCAGCTCAGATGGGCACTGATATGTGGCATTGATGTGCACTGGTATGCACTGCTATGTGGCACTGATGGGCACTGGCACATGGCACTGATGGGCACTGGCACGTGGCACTGATGAGCACTGACAGGTGGCACTTCTGGGGCCACACTGATCATCAGGGCACACTGATTATCAGTGCCCTGATGATCAGTGTACATGTCCCCTCCGCGGAAAGCCGATTACCGGCTCTCCGCTCGAGCTGTCAGCGTGACAGCTCGAGAGGAGAGAAATGCCGATAACCGGCATTTCCATGTTTACATGTGATCAGCTGTGATTGGACACAGCTGATCACATGACCGAGCCGACATCTTCGGCTCTTTCCGTGTTCCGCTGTGTCCGAGGGACACAGCGCACCAGCGATCGCTGCGCTGCGCGCTCCCTGAGCCGCGCATGTGCAGTGAGAATGGTAGGACGTCATATGAAGTCCTATCAGAACGAGAGAGAACCACCTTGCGCCCGTCATTGTACTATAGGGCGGGCGGAAGGTGGTTAAAGATAAAAGAGTGTGTATACACAATGGTACAAACCAGGAGCGGACCGACCATTTGAACACTCGGGCACTGGCCGAGGGCCCGGGGTCAGTAGGGGGCCCCATGAGATGCCCCTGGTACCTTTCATTGCCTTTTTCATAGGCTTTTTTGAGTGTGGGCGAGGACACAGGGGCCCCATGATCTCCTATTGCCCGGGGGCCCCATGAGTTGTCAATCAGCCATTGGTACAAACATACAAAAGCCTAGAGTGCTGCTACTGCAGTGATCTTCATTGTCTTCCAGGTCCCTTCACAGGCACCTTTCACAGAACAATTTGCATTTTCTCAATGAGTTCAATGCATTCACTAAGGAGGAAAGGCGAAACGGTGATGTCACGATCTTCACCTTGTCCAATCAGAAAATTCCTTGTATTCAATGAGAAAATGCAAATAGTTCTGAATGGCACCTGTGCTAAACAAGTGACCCCCTGTGGTTACTAGGGAGCAAGACAGCTGTTTGACATGGGTCCCAGAAGACAGCGAGGATCACTGTAGTAGCAATGGCTATTAAAGTAATTTCCCGCTTCTACAGTCATATTGCATATGCATACTAACATTGGTCTGAGCTAGACCAATGTAACTAAGCAAAAAATATCCATACCTGCAATGCAGCTTTAAAATATAACATGAGAGTATAACTGACAAAATGCAAAAATATTTGATCTTGATGCCTACTGCATACTATGTTAGACTTTTAAAAATAGCAAACTTCTGCCATCTATGTGCTGTCACTGCTGTTTAGAAAACCTCCTAGAATAATTCAGACTATAACCTACACAGCATACATTTACATGTGTTATATCATTTCACAAGTCATGCTCATTTTAAAGCTCAACCCCACGTACTTCATCCAGTGGCATACTAAGGGGGTTATGTTCTGCCCAATTAGCCATACCTTTATGAACACCTACCTAATATTGAGTAGGTCCCCTTTTTGCTACCAGAACAGTCCTCACCCATCAAAGCATGGACTCCACCAGACCTAGGAAGGTATGCTGTTGTATCTGGAATCAAGCTGTCAGTAGCAGATCCTTTAACCAATACCAGGCACTTTTACCCCCTTCCTGCCCAGGCCAATTTTCAGCTTTCAGCGCTGCCGCACTTTGAATGATAATTGCGCGGTCATGCAACACTGTACTCATATGAAATTTTTATAATTTTTTGAGACAGATATAGCTTTCTTTTGGTGGTATTTAATCACTTCTGGGTTTTTTTATTTTTTGCTAAACAAACCAAAAACAACTGAAAATTTTGAAAAACGTTTTTTTTTTTCTTATTTCCTGTTATAAAATTTTGTCAATGAGTAATCTTTCTCCTTCACTGATGTGCACTAATGAGGCTGCAGTGGTGGGCATTGATAGGCTGCACTGATGGGCACTGATGAGGAGGCACTGGTAGGTGACACTGATGGGCATTGACAGGCATCACTGGTGGGCAATGACAGACATCACTGATGGGCACAGAAAGGCAGTGTTCATATATGGCACTGATACGAGGCACTGATAGGCGGCACTGATATGTGGCACTGATGGATGGCACTGAAAAGCAGCTCAGATGGGCACTGATATGTGGCATTGATGTGCACTGGTAGGCACTGATATGTGGCATTGATGTGCACTGATGGGCACTGACAGATGGCATTGATGGGCACTGAGAGGTGGCATTGATGGACACTGACAGGTGGCACTGATGAGGCTGCACTGATCATCAGGGCACTGATCATCAGTGCCCTGATGATCAGTGTAGATGTCCCCTCTGAGGAATGACGATTACCGGCTCTCCTCTCCTTGCAAGTTGTCAGCGTGATAGCTCGAGAGGAGAGGAATGCTGATAACCGTCATTTCCTTACTTACATGCGATCAGCTGTGATTGGACACAGCTGATCACATGACAGAGCTGAAGTCATCGGCTCTTTCCGCTGATCGGTGATCTGCTGTGTCTCAGGGACGTAGTGCACCACTGATCGCTGTGCTGCGTGCTCCCGGGGCACGCACGTGCGGTTAGAGTGGGAGGACGTCATATGGCATCCTCCCAGAACGAGAGAACCACTGCCCGTCCATCATTTCCTAATATGGCAGGTGGAGGTGGTTAAAGTACTTCTAAAAGCAGATGTTTTTTTTTTTTACCCTAATACATTCTATGCAGTAAGGTAAAAAACCTTCTGGGTGCAGCTCCTCTACAGTCCCACTTATAGATACCTCAGTCCCATCTCGATCCAGCAATGTGCAAGAGAGCCTTGGTCTCTCTCTCTATTTTCATTGGCTCAAACAGTAACTTTGGCTCCTGCTGCTGTCAATCATAGCCAGTGAGCCAATGAGGAGAGAGCATGGTGCAGGGCTGCGCCACACCCTGTGTGTGAAGGGACATTGTTCATTCACAGAAGTGCGGCTCGGGAGCAAGCCTGCTTGAGTGTCCCTATAGTAAGAGGCTTGCTATTGGGGGCACTCAGTAAGGGGAAGGGGCCAGGACCGCTGGCAAGGGAACAAAAAATAAGAAGATTGGGTCTTGATTGAGCAGGTAAGTATCACATGTTTGTTATTTTTTTCAATTACAACCTTTAGCCTGGGTTCAAATATGTGTGGGACCAATTAGCAGTGCGATTTGTAAAAGAGTCCGGTGCAGTTTTGTTCGGCAGATCAGGTGCGGTTCCAATGCAAATTGTCAAAGTGTATGACATTGGAAATTGCACCTGAACCAGGCTGAAAATCGTACCTGACTCTTTTTTAAATTGCACTGCGGCCATCCCACACATATGTGAACCCGGCTCCAGAGAAAAGGTTCAGATGTCATGCAAATCTGATGCGGTTCGAAATGAATCCAATTAACATATATGTGAACCGGGGTCTCAGAATCACTTTAAGTCCTGTAACTTGCGATGTAAGGCTTCCATGGATTGCACTTGTTTTTCCAGTACATCCCACAGAAGCTTGATTGGATTGAGATGTGGAGAATATGGTGGCCAAGTAAACACCTCAAACTCACCAAGCAGGGTCAAAACAAAACACATTTCTTTTACTAATAGATGCAACTCACTGTCAGCACTATCTATATAAACTGTACGTAGCATCAGCTACAGAGGCGGACTGACAACTCATGGGGCCCCCGGGCCAATAGGAGATCATGGAGCCCCCGTATTTATCCTCGTGCACACCCAAAAAGCCTATGAAAAAGCCAATTAAAGGTACCAGGGACATCTCATGGGGCCCCCCTACTGACCCCGGGCCCTCGGGCAGTGCCCTGAGTGCTCAAATGGTCAGTCCGCCTCTGATCAGCTACATACAGCATACAGCGCTGTGTTCCAGCAGCTGGGTGCGAACTTCCCTTCTACTGCCTGAACAAACAAACTGAGTTGAGCTAAGTGCTGGTCAGCCGTTCACCTAACACACAGACAGCAGTGTCCAGTAGTGTGTAATTTACAGAATACAGGGTCCAGGAGTGTGTGTGGTAATGCACAGAATACAGGGTCCAGGAATGTGTAATGCACAGAATACAGGGTCCAGGAGTGTGTAATGCACAGAATACAGGGTCCAGGAGTGTGTAATGCACAGAATACAGGGTCCAGGAGTGTGTACGGCACAGAATACAGGGTCCAGGAGTGTGTAATGCACAGAATACAGGGTCTAGGAGTGTGTAATGCACAGAATACAGGGCCCAGGAGTGAGTAATGCACAGAATACAGGGCCCAGGAGTGAGTAATGCACAGAATACAGGGTCCAAGAGTGAGTAATGCACAGAATACAGGGTCTAGGAGTGTGTAATGCACAGAATACAGGGCCCAGGAGTGTGTAATTCACAGAATATACAGGGTCCAGGAGTGAGTAATGCACAGAATACAGGGTCCAGGAGTGTGTACTGCGCAGAATACAGGGTCCAGGAGTGAGTAATGCACAGAATACAGGGTCTAGGAGTGTGTATCGCACAGAATACAGGGCCCAGGAGTGTGTAATTCACAGAATACAGGGTCCAGAAGTGAGTAATGCACAGAATACAGGGTCCAGGAGTGTGTAATGCACAGAATGCAGGGTCCAGGAGTGTGTAATGCACAGAATACAGGGTCCAGGAATTAGTAATGCACATAATGCATGGCCCAGCAGTGCGTATTGCACAGTAGGGGTTGGGAGTACAAAATGAAAAGAATGCAGTTAATCTGGGGTGTGTAATGAACAGCTTAGAGGTCAGGAGAGTCTAAAATTCCCCTTGCAAGCAATAATCTCCCCCAATTGTCAGCAAAAAAACCATCCTCCCTGAAAAATTTAGCACTAATCTACACACTCACCACACCCAGGACAGAACAAATCTTTGCTCCCCAAATCCCCCCTTCCCAGAACAAATCCTTACATCAGCACAAATTCCTTCCACCCTTCTAGTACAAATTGCCATCCCACTACCCCCCTCTCAGGATAAATCTTCTTTCCCTCCCCCTCAAATCATCCTTTTAGTACACAAATCCTTTTCCCTTCCAAATCCCCCAATCCACCCTTCTAGTTCAAATTCTCTCCACCCACCCCCCACCATCAATTCATTACCCTCTCAGCACAAATACACCTCACACCAAAATCCCCATTCTAATACAAATTCCCCCCCTCCCCCCCCCCACACACACACACCAAATCGTCATTCTAGTACTAATCCTCTTCTCTCCCAAATAACACCCTCAGCACTAATTCCCCTCGCCCTCAAAATCACCCCTTCCAGCCTGAATCCCCCCAAATCCCTTCTTCTAGCACAAATCCTCTTATATTTCCCCCCCCCCCCCGTCCCCCCCCTCCTATCACAAGTCCCCCTCCCCAAATTACCTTTGCCAGTATAAACCCTTCCCCAACCCTTCTTTCTATCACAAACCCTCTTCTTTTACCCTACCAATCCAAATCAAATGCCCCCAACCAGCACAAATGCTGTTAGCCTCCGACATCTTCCTTGCCTCTCAATATGAATGTTCTTGTCTGAAAAAAACCCCCCTCCCCGATTCTAGCACAAAAGATATTCTTCCTACCAGGATTCTAGTCCTGTTCTGTCAGAGCATGTCAGAGCCGAGGAGGAGACTTGGAGAAATTCCCTTGGCTCTGAAGTGAATTGCTTACAGGCAGCTGGTAGGGAGAGATGCTGGCTGCTGCAGTGTCAGCAATACTGTTGCCGGGGACCCGGTGCACCCACGAAAGATGCAGGCATATACCTGGGGCTAGTGATGTTACTTGCACCCCCTGCACAGTAGAACACTGTACCCTTTCTGCCTCCCCTTCTCCCAGCCCTGGGTGTGCCAGTGACAGGCTGGTGTGTGATGGTGTAGCTCCCCCAATTAAAAGGCTACACTAGGCTAGATGATGTGCCTGGGGGCAATTTGGACCCCCTGACTCCCCCCTTATCTACACCCCTGTCATGTTGTCCTTAGAAGTGTAGAGGAACAGATAATATTGGGATCTGGTATAATAAACTTACTCAATAATACTGTATATAGAATGTTGTTAATTATTTAATTATTATTCTAGGCACATATTGAATGGGTATTCTCTCCTCTATTATGTGGCCCTCTTTTTTGTCTGTCTTCCTGTGAATACTCACAGCAACAAAAAAAAGTCAGAGCTAATGTTTTTGTAAGAACCTTTACCTAAATAAGATGTGTTTAATTCTGTAACTAATTGTTCTTTATAAGATTTTAGATATGTACCACCTCTACTGCTAAAGAAGCTGATGTTCATATCGACAAAATGCATCGAGATGTAGCTCTAATGGTAAAAAAAACATCTTGCCATGTTTACATGTGGTGGTTTGAAACACATATGATGGAAAGTAATCAAATATGGTGTACTTTGAGCTTTGGAATGGCTAAATAATCATAAATCATAATATCATTTTTATATAATTTATATATATCATTAGAATTCTCAGTGGATTCTGAAATCTGAGAATTTAATACTGTTTTCAATAAAATGAACAAAATATTTGAAATGTTTTGTATCCCTCTTAGTCCTTGGTGTAAAGCTGGCCACACGCTGATTGAAATTTGGCCGGTTTGGCAGGGACCAGCCAACTTTCCATTAGTGTGTGGCAGTCCCCACTCAACAGAAGCATATTGTTTGATCGACTTCTGAAGGTGGAACATGTTGGAAAATTTTCCTTGATTAGAGGCTACACCCAACCAGCTGTAGGTGCCACTGTCAGAATACTGTGTCCCAGTGGGGGGAATCCTCCATCCACCATGTTCGTGTGGATGGAGGAACCTGTTAGTTTTTGTTCATTCAGCCCACTGGCTGAACAGAAAAAACAAACAGTGTATGGGCAGAATCTGTATTTGAATAGAAATCATGGGATGTTGGTACCATGAAATATGTTTGGAAACCATATATACTTATGAGGCATTAAGATAAATAAATGCTGGATTTGCTATTTGCACATTCTCTAATCCTTAGGGTGGTAAATGAACCCCAGTGACACAGAGATTAGAGACAGGTGCTACATAGATCTTGATCACTGTGTCACTCACTGCACAATAGTACACGCCAGAGTCAGACAGCTCAGCCTTGGCTTTTGTCACATGAAAAGTACTTTTTTCCTTGTCATGCTGGGCTGTAAAACCTCGGTTTTCTTTCACTCCATAATTATATAGTAGCATCTCCGGAGCTTTGTTGTAATAATGGGTGTACCCAGAAAAGGTAAGGGGAGCCAGATAATTTAAATGTACAGTTTATATGCAGAGGTTCTCCCTCTGAAAGCAGCAAAGACGGTAGAGGCTGGTCAACAGTCTGGCCATGGATCATAACTGTAATAAAATGACATTTGGTTAACTTTCTTGCAAGTGATGTTTATTTGTAAATGACAATTCTTACATTTCTTATTTGAAGTTACTCACCAAACAATGACATAAAGGTTATATGAAGAAGACTGGCAGCACACATCATGTCACAGCCAACCACAAAGAATGATCTGATCTGTCAGTGGGAAGTACAGATGTGACATTTTATAACACAGCTACGTCATGTGACTATTTCCTC